ATTTTTTTTTTTAATTTTTACTATAGGTGCCCCAACAAGTCTTTATTGCATAGCAACGCAGAAGGGCATTTAACTGAAAGTTCACGCCTTCTTCCTAACCGATGCCGGTTAGAAAGCCAATTATTAGATATAACTTGTTCGTTAAAAAATTGCGATAAAAAAATATTTATGTACTAAGAAATATAAAAATATAATTTTTTTTAAATTTTATTATGAATTATAAATCGAAATATTTAAAATTAAAAAATAAAAATACAAGAACAATGTTTAATTATCAAATAGAGAGTTTAATTTTTTTATCAAATAGATAGTTTAATTTTTATAACAAAATATTATCGAAACTCCAATTTTTTCTCGACTCCGACGGAGTTTTTTCTCGATTTCTCTCGACTCCGTTTTTTCTCGATTTTGGATCCTTTGACTTTATTATATCAAAACAAATGAAATTGGCGGTAAACTTAAAGTTAAGTTTCTTGCTTGAAGAACTTGTTCTAATATAGTTTTTAAATCATAAATATTAAATATAGTTTTAAAAAACGTGCTTTTGTGATAATTTGACTGAATTTGAATGACTATTTAAAAGTTTGTTAAAATATTTATTGACAATTTTAAAGAACGATTTATTATTCGATAAGTACAACATGTTTGAAAAAGATTAATTGAACAACTTTGGTATTTCCCGTTTCAAGAAATACCAAATTGTTACATCCTGTAATAACACATATTACTTAGTTAACTTTATATTACATGTAATATAAAGTTAACTAAGTAATATGTGTTATTACAGGATGTAACAATGTGAAAATTGTTAAAAGTCATAACAAGATAAAATTTGAAACAGTGTAAAGTAAAAAAGTATGTAATGTAATTTAAAATGTGCCTAATATATTAGTTTTATTATATTGATGGTTCTTAAAAACGATAACAATGAAAAGATTAGATCTTATCCCAAATATAAGTGAATTAGGAGTTGATAAATTAAAATTATGGAAGGATTTAATGAAATAAAAAATACTGAAAAAATTCGCAAAGAAAACTTAAATAAAGTTAAGCTTGCTTTAGTTATATTTATTTCAAAAGTGAAGAAAAAACTAAAACAATGTGAACGAAACTATGATACATTTATACAAAAAGAAAATCGTTGGCTTTAAAGAAATCTTATGAACAATAAAAATAGCCATTTTGGATCTGGAAGGCCTCATAAACAATGGAGTGTTCTTGGAGAGAGAAGCTAAAGAAAAAAAAATAAAAGAACTAGCCACTGAACATCATGAAGCTCTGTTTTTAGCTTCTGCAAAAAGTGAAAATGCTGCTGGAGAAAGAAAAAAAAGCCTCTGTTTTAAAAAACGATATATCTAATGTTTTAGAGATAGAAAAAGTTGATAAAACTTTGGATAAAACCTTTCCCATTAACATGTGTAGAGGATGCACTTGCATTAAAAATGAATACTGATCTCAGAGATAAACAATATCAAATGATCAGAAACTCAGCTCTTGTACACAACGTACATATTTATCCTACCTTGCACGATATTTTCGTGGAAAAATTGAAAAGCTATCCTGAGAATATACATTTTTCTGAAATTTCTGCAAAGTGTACTCTTCAAAGCATGTTAGATCACACTGTGAGTAGAATAACAGAAATGATTGATATGCCTAATTTTGGTCAAAGTGATGAAATATTTAGAGTTTTATATGGAAAGATTGGTTTTGATGGAGCATCAAGCCAAAGTATTTATAAACAGAAATACGATAAAAACAACGCAAGTATAGAACTTAAGCATGAAGAAAATCTTTTCAGTACAGCTTTTGTGCCTTTATTGCTCAAAGTAGAAGATGGAGAAATTTGGAAAAATGAAAATCCTTCAATCTGTCACTTTTGTAGACCTCTTCATCTACAATATAAAAAAGAGGGTCCAATTTTATCCAGAGAAGCAAAATCAGACCTAAAAAATCAAATAAAAACCTTAAAGACGTTTTGCAAAGTTTTTAATATTGCAGGAAGAATTCTGACATTCAATATCAACTATAGGATTGATCTTACAATGTTTGATAATAAAGTAGTTAGCGCACTTACAGAGACAAAATTAACTCAATCCTGCAATGTGTGCAATGCTAAACCCAAGGAAATGAACAATATTGATTTATTAAAAGCAAAAACTGAAAATGACTCGGTCTTCGGGCTCGGAATTTCATCTTTGCATTGCTGGATAAAATGCTTGGAGTTCATTCTTAATTTGAGTTATAAAATTGAAATTAAAAAGTATAAGCCAAAAACAATTGAGGAAAAACTATCTGTAGACTTAAAAAAAAAAGAGATTCAGGTACTCTTCAGAGAACGGTTTAGCCTATACGTTGATATGCCTTAAACTGGGTCTGGAAACACGAATGACGGCAACACTGCCAGAATAGCATTTAAAAATAGTAAAGTTTTTTCTGGAATTACTAAAGTTGATTGTGATATAATTAAAAGATTGCATAATATTCTCATAAACATATCTTGTGGATATCCTATTAATATCAATGAATTAGATTTATACTGCACTGAAACAGCTAAACGTATAATGAGTTTATACAACTGGTATGTTATGCCTACTACTGTACATAGACTGCTACTGCATAGTTCTTCTATATCAAATAAATTACCTTTGCCAATCGGGGTATATTCGGAAGATGCACTAGAGAGCTTAAATAAACAGATAAAAATTCTAGACTTAAGCACACGGCAAAAATATCAAGGTTAAACACAATGATGAATCAGATGCACTACCTTCTAGTAAAATCAGATCCAAAAATATCAAGCATATCTTTTAGAAAACATAAAAGCTATCGAGGAAAACCGTTACCAGATGAAGTTTTTAAATTAATTGTAATGTAAATAATAAATTTAATGTAAAAAAATACAGTATTTTTTCAACATCCTTAAAAAAACATTTTTATAAAAATATCAAGTAGAGTAATATATCAAAATTATGTGTTTGTCTTGAAGATTCTAAAAACTAAAAAAAAAAAAATTTGTACGCGTATAGTCACCTTTAACACGTGTAAGCGCGCATTTTACGCGTCGAAGCTGCGCGTTAAATAAAAAATTATTAAAAAATTTGAAATCTTTGACTTAAAAATTATTATTTTAATATATAACATTATTTATTTACGATTTATGTCAATTTTTATTTAATTTTTGCCGTTTTTTGATTGTCCTGTGTCGTCGGAATAAAGGTTTGACAAGAGAGCCTACCTTTTTTTAATTTAAATTTTTAAAAATTTAAAGTAAAAAAGTTAACAAAGGTGCAAATCACAATATATAAACAACCAGATTCCAATCACATATTTAAAATCAGGCCCGTAGTAAGCTTTTTGTTTTTGTTTGAGAATTTAACTTTATGAAACGACATGGAGCAAACTCCAAACATTTATATATTCATGTTTATATAAAGCCTTTCAGAAGAATTGCGATAATTTCAGTCTGTTAACAATAAACCCCTGAAATGTTAACTTTCCTTGCATGCCATTAGTGTGAGAGCAATGAGTTTATAACATTTATATATATATATATACATATATATATATATATATATATATATATATATATATATATATATATATATATATATATATATATATATATATATATATATATATATATATATATATATATACATTTTTTTAACATTTTAAACTTAATTTAAGTTTATTAACAAGTCTCTAATGTCATGCAATAATCTCTTAGTGTTCAAATGATAAGTTTTGAGCAACCATTCTCAATTATTTAGGGGATTTAAATTATTATCTTTAGTTAACTTATAAGTTCGTCTGACAATCAAATTCTTTTCCTCATTCAAAAGTTCGGAGAAGTAATCAAATGACGCAACTTAAAGTTTGTCGAAGAATAAAGAAGAAAATTAAGTTTTTATAAGTGACTTTAGTCTACAAGAACATTTGTATTTTTCAAACAATATTATGTTGTTCAAATTATTCTTATTTTTATTATTTTAATATTTTGATAATTATCAAATTAATTTTGTTTCAAATTTAATTTCGTCATTGATTTTTTTTTTCTAACATAAAGACATTTTTTAATGCAGTGCAGAGTGGTCCAGAAATGTCACTTTTGAGACAAAACTCATATCTTTGCCGATTTTGAAGCAAAAAAGCTAAAATTTTGGGTGAATGTTCATTATACCCTGGCCAACAATAAATATCATTGTAATATTAGTTGTCATACCTCTAAAGGAATAATTACACAAATAACACGAAACCAAGGACAAATGAAATGACGAATAATAAACATGTGATACGCATTTCATATTTAATTTTCAACTTTCTATCAACTATAAATAGTCACCAGCATGTATGAAACATTTTTATTGAATGAATAAATATAATACCTGCCCAGCAAACATTTCAGCGTTGAATCAACGTTGAAAACCGGTCGCAAAAAGTGTTGCGGAAACGTTGACAAAGTAATCGATTTTGCAAAGATATGTCACGTTGTTAAAGAGACTTTGATTAAACGTTGTAGCGTAACGTTGAAAAAACGTTACTAAAAGACGTTACAAAAATGTCTCAACTAAACGTTGAAAAAGCGTTACTTTAAAAGCGTTGCATAGGCGCCGCAACTTAACGTTGAAAAAACGTTACTTGAAAAGCGTTACTTTAACGTTGTTAAAGCAGTCGATTTTGCAAGGATTTGTAACGTTGGTAGTAAAACGTTGATTTAACGTGACTCAAAGACGTCGAGTAAAGGTTGAAATATAACGTTAAATCAACGCTCAAATGCGCTGGAGAAAATATCGCAAAATATTATTAAACGTGATTAAACTTGGTTATAATGTATATTGAATTTGCAAATAAAACAAAATTGTATGTTGAACTCTGCACTTGCAATATTTCCAAAGTCGATTTTTAATACAAATAGTAATATATAATGAAAAACATAAAAAATATACAATTTATTTATATAAAATTTACAATTTATAGATAAAAATATAAACATCTTTTTTAAGGTTTATGTGTGTGAGTTAATTTACCGGATTTACGTGTGCGAGTAAAATTTATGTGTGTAAGTGGATTTACAGGATATCGTATCGATAAGCCAGGATATCATTGAGATACAGAATCTAAATCAAAAAATAAAACTTGTATCATTATCAGTCTGAAAGCAAATGTTTAAAAAATGTTATTGAATTAGTATGATTATTATTAAACTTAAAAAGTAAATATATATATATATATATATATATATATATATATATATATATATATATATATATATATATATATATATATATATATATATATATATATATATATATATATATATAAATTATGTATATATATATATATATATATATATATATATATATATATATATATATATATATATATATATATATATATATATATATATATATATATATATATATATATATATTGTGATTGTCGTAATAGCATAAAATAAGTAATTGTTTTTAAAAATAACACGACGTTTTTTATTCTTGAAATGTTTTGTAGTAAACAACTGGGGTTGATATTTGACTGGGGTCGAAGCCGGGTTTGATAAAATATAGCCGGGGCCAGGGCCGGGTTTGAGACCAGGCTGCATAAACATTTATACATCCTAAAGTATATTTTTTAAATTTAAAATTCATAGTATATTTTGTATATATATGCATATATGAACATCATTGTGATCAACATGATCATCATAATCATCATAACCATCATCATCACCATCATCATCATCATCATCATCATCATCATCATCATCATCATCATCATCATCATAATCATCATGATCATCATTATCATCAACAGCATAAAAGTGGAAAGCTTGACAATGATAATAAAAATTATGTTGATGTTGTTGATCGTCATCATGATAATCTTCATCATCTTTACTATGGCACTATGTAAGGCACACTCTTCAAATTTTCTTACTTCGACCACAACCATTTTATACTGAAGCTGCTACCACTCTACATGTTAATACCTGAATTACTTTAACTTTTTCTAAAAGGTTGTTTGATACAACGTTTTTTCTAATCTGTCTAAGATTATGCCTACTTTTTATATCTTGTTAGAGTCACACCACACATTCATCTGATCATTTTCTCTTTCGACAAATACTACACTATATAAATACTAAAGTTTATACAACAGTGAAAGGATATTGTATGCCAGCATCTAAACAAATAACAAACAAATATGCTTATATCCATAATATGTGTGCAAAAAGTGCATCTTGGAAGCTTATATTGCTTCTGGAATAAAAGTTTGGAAGCTTTTATTACTTCTCTTCAGTTTTAAATCAAGCCTCATTCTATTCTACATCTTTCAACATTAACTACGTTTTTCAGCTTTTTTATAAGAACATCTCTTATAAGAAAAAATTGTCCTTTTTATTATTGCAATAAGCTAATGTATAAATAAAGTCTTGTCTGATGTAAATCTCTGTTATTCTCAGTTTACTAAACCTTGTATCTTATCTTAGATGTCGATTCTAGAGACTTTTGGTTAGTTTTCAACAGTGTTATTAACTAAAGTGTCTTATGGATTTAAATTCTGAACTTAATATATATATATATATATATATATATATATATATATATATATATATATATATATATATATATATATATATATATATGTATGTATGTATATATGTATATATATACAATTTGCAACTAAAAATAGTCATGTATCCATACATTAATTTACTAAATAAAACTTACTTCAATAGGTGTAACTATAAATCATCAATTTAAATCATATTATGTACTTCGTTCATAAAATGCAAACCAGTTAAAACAAAATCATTCCTCGATTTTTGATCCACCAGAACTTTACTAAATAAATTTATACTGGTAATCAAACTACCACAAGTCAAAAAATTTAGAAGGTATTATTGAAATCAGCTTTGACCAATAGTTAATATTAAAATTTTTTTTATTCTTTACTATATAAAACCAAAGTAAAGTTAAATTTGAAGAGAAACAAAATTATTCACAAACATAATTACTTACATTCTTCTTCGGAGTCCTCTTTAGTCGTGAAATTAAATCCTGCACATACTTCTTTATCTATTCGTAATTATTTAGTAAAACAAATATAAATAAAATTATGTAAAAACAAAAAAGTAGAATAAATGTAAACAGATTACAATATATATCTAGGCAGTAATAATACCATAACCAGATTCAAAATATTACTTATTCCGGAATAAAAATAAAATAGTTTATTTGATATAATACTTCACCGTTAAAATAAAGCTATAATAGTTTTTTTATTCATATAAAACAATTAAAATAGCAATAATTACTGTAAAATTCAATGACCTCCAGTTACTTTAACTCTTTTAAGTCTAAGTTTGTTGCAGGAGTCAATGATTGAAAAATTATTATAGGTAGCTTTTATATTTTTATTGCATGAACACAAGTTGACCAAAATAACCATCCATCTTTTTTCGAACAAGATGGAACAACTGCCTCTGCTTTAAACCTAATGTATATGTAAATTATGTATATATAAATCTTTATATATACATTATTTGCACACACACACACACACACACACACACACACACACACACACACAGATATATATGTATACATATATATATATATATATATATATATATATATATATATATATATATATATATATATATATATATATATATATATATATATATATATATATATATATATATATATATATATATATATATATATATATATATATATATATATATATATATGAATATATAGTTTTTATGTGTATACACATAGCTGTCATGTTTTGAAAATGTTTACAAGAGAGACTTGGAAAAAATTTTATACCACTGGATATTTGTCCACTAAAATACCTCTATTGACTAAAAAAGTTTTTAAATGATATATTACTCTGACAACTAACTTAAAAATGTCCAAATTTGGCCACTTACTGAGCTGAAATTTATACTGTATAGATATACTTTTATATATTTATGTTTGTGTTAACCAATTTTTAACAATCTTTAACTATTTTTCTTATCTTATAAAATGAAAACTATTTAAAAAGTTAGAAGTTTGGTGTATTTTAAGTTACTAATGAGGAAAAGAAAGTTATTAAATTATTTTTAAATGCAGGTTGGAGATGAATTTCTCTTCAAAATTCGAAAACTCCTGCCAAATGGGAGAGACTTCATAGGTCTATATTCAGATACTTAATAAAGCTAGTATACAAACTCTTAATAAAGTAATAAATAAATGTTAAACTATATAAATATTAAATTCCTCATAAAATATTAAACTCTTAAATATTGATAATAATTCTTTAATAAAATTTCCAAACCATTATACCAACTTTTATATTTTTCAATAAAAATGACTAGACATGACAATATTTTGTAATTTAAAAAAAAAAACATGTATTTATTATACACGCAATATGCCTCTCTTACATATATATATATATATATATATATATATATATATATATATATATATATATATATATATATATATATATATATATATATATATATATATATATCTTACATATATATATATATATATCTTACATATATATATATATATATATATATATATATATATATATCTTATATATATATATATATATATATATATATATATATATAAGATATATATATATATATGATATAATATATATATATATATATATTATATCATATATATATATATATATATCTTACATATATATATATATATATATATATATATATATATATATATATATATATATATATATATATATATTTGTATGTATGTATGTATAAGTAATAATTTGTAAATAAACTAAAAAATTTATTCTGTTAACAAACTTAATTTAGTCTGACTTATTATGTTTTAATTATTTTGATAATATTGTATAAATGTGAATCGTATTAAAACTAAGTACTATTTCTAACTAAGAAATAAATATTTAAAAAAGTTGAGCATTTTATTAAAATCGTCAACTTAAAACAAAATAAAACATTGACAAAAATAAGCTGATTAAATCGAATTTACCCTGAGATTTATGTACTTTATATACATTTTGATATAAAATCTAAAAGTTTTAAATTAGTCGCAATAAAATAGGCTAGAAAATATAACTTTATTAAAAAAATTTTTATACCATATGCATGCATTCCATCAAGTTTTCCTTGCCTTTCTATTATGGCAAATTATTTTTGTAATGGGACAATAATTTTCAATGTGCCACTTCCTCAACATTGTCAAAACAACGTTTTATTAACGTTGGCAAAGTAACACTTTTTCAACGTTTTTTAATTAGCACATTTTCAACCAACGTTGAAATAACGAATAAGTGTTGTTTTTTAAATAGTTTAAATTCGTTGAAAAAGTAGCTAATGTCTAACGTTGATAAACCATTACCTTTGCGACGTTTTTACAATGATTATTTGCGTACTAATTTTCAACGTTTAATAAACGCATTTTTTTGAGAAGATAAGATACGTTTAAATTTATACGCTTATTCAACGTTGAAAATGTAACGTTTCAATTTACCGCGATTTAGTATACAAAAAAAGACATTGATTCAACGTTGAAAGCACGTTGTTTTTGTGACTGCAACGCTTTTTCTACGCTGCGACTGGTTTTCAACGTTGATTCAACGCTTACATGTTTGCTGGGTGTGCAGAACACCATGAATACATAGCGTAATAGCTTACATTTAACGTACTTCTTTTAACATAATCATTTTAGAAATACCTTTTAGCTAAATATATTTAGTTAAAATGTAGATGAAATCTTTTTTGTATAGGTTATTTCTGTTGCTAGAAAAATGGAATTTAATACTAAAAATGCTTTAAGAAGAATGACTGTTTCTCTTTTTACAACCTAACTCTGTTGGTTGGCCTAAATAAAGTAAAGTGGACCATGAATTGTATTTAAAAATTAAAATTGGGTTAAAAGAACTGCATTTAGACGTGTATTTCAAAGTAAATTATTTATTTTTTTCATTTATATGCATTTAATTTTAGTCATCAGTTTTGTAGGCTTTTAAACCCAAACCAACCCAAGTAGCAAACAATATTGGCGTAATATTGGCACGATATTGGGTATCTTGGCTAATCTTGGCCAAGATATCCGATATTGCGCCAATATTGTCAAGCAATATTACGCCAATATTGTCTTACCAATATTGGCAAACAATATTGCGCCAATATTATCCATTATCGTTTTACTGATATTGTTATGCCAATATTGGCGAAATATTGCGCCAATATTATCCCATTATCGATTTACTGATATTGGTATGCCGATATTGGCGAAATATTGATTGCCAATATTGAATTTTACATATTGGTACGCATGCGTAACATTTAGGAATATTCATAATGTCCATTAGTTTTGTTAAATGTGTTTAAATGTAAATAATAGCATCTTTTTACATAAACAGGCATCCTTATAATATTAATTTTTTTACAAAAACAAAGAGTTCAAAATAAAAATTTTAATTTATGAAAAGAGAAGAAGTAGGAAAAGTATTTTTAATTCAACATTTACAGAGTGAATCAGGAGAAGAAGTGTTGGTAATTTATTTTGAAACAGATTGTATCACGAGAAGAAGTGGTAAGAGTAATAAAATTCTTTTATTCAACATTACGAATTGAATTACGAAAAGAAGTGGTTGTAATTAATTTAACACATATTGCATCACAAGAAGAATAGGAAAAATATTTCTATACTTAAGTATCAAGATTAAAATAGTAAGCTTACTCTTAAATGTAAGAAGACTTTGAGAAGATTTCATCTATAAAATATAAGTTTTATAGTCTATTTATTTTGTTAAAGATATTCGTTTAAGAAAAATATTTCTATACTTAAGTATCAAGATTAAAATAGTAAGCTTACTCTTAAATGTAAGAAGACTTTGAGAAGATTTCATCTATAAAATATAAGTTTTATAGTCTATTTATTTTGTTAAAGATATTCGTTTAAGAAATAAATATGTCATCATTATTGTTTCTAACTGTTATAAGATTTTAATTTACGAAAAAGGTTATAAGATTTTAATTTACCCTTGCTTGACACATAATAACATCAGTAATATAAATATATATATATATATATATATATATATATATATATATATATATATATATATATATATATATATATATATACATATACATATATATAAATATAGCCCTGTATATATATATATATATATATATATATATATATATATATATATATATATATATATATATATATATATATACATATACATATATATAAATATAGCCCTGTATATATATATATATATATATATATATATATATATATATATATATATATATATATATATATATATATATATATATATATATATATATATACAGGGCTTGTGATAAATCGAGCGCGATCGCGCTCCGCTCGTGAAACGCGCCCGTAAACGGTATTTTGAAACGTTCCAGGCGCGATAAACAACGCTCGTTCAGCTTATAACGAGCGTATAAAATAACGCTCGTCCAAGAGTTCGGGGCAAAACAAATAATAACTTTTTTTTAAAAAATCTTATTTTCATAAAATATGAAAAAAAGATTTTTTAATAAAGATTTTATATTATCGAAGCACTAATATAATATAAAATAAAAAAAGCACTACGTCGTTCTTTTTTGCACTAACCTAATGAATGAGCAGTTTGAAGTCGTTAATAGGCACTAATTTCATTGATGGAATGTGCATGTAGAAATTCAATGCAAATACAAAAATGCACAAATAAAATAATAAAAAATTAGTAAATCATTATAAGAAAATTGAAACTGCAGAATATTTTTAATCTTGTGAAAACATAAAGTAAGATTTATTTGATTTATTGTTTGTAATATTCCATACATCGTTTATAATAAAAATAAATAATAATGATTCAGTAATTTTTTAAATAAGTTTTTGTTTATAGTATAAGTTTTTTATTAACTATTATTTATTTTAACTCAAATTTAAAACGATTCTTTTGTTTAGAATGTCCGCAATCAATGACATTCCAAAAGAAAACAAAGTAATGTTGTCAACATTTATTAAATGGAAAGTTCAAGAGGTAATACAAAATTGGCCTAACGTTGTATACAACATTGGCCCAATATCGTATGTTATATATCGGCCTAACGTTTTATGCAACATTAGATCGTTGTTACAAATAAGATGATTTGCATCGCTACATTGAAAATTTATAGAGAAAAAAAAGAATGTATGATACAAGTATAAAAATTTATTTATTTAACACAATTTATCGGTTAAATATACATATTGCAAACACCAAACTTAAACCAAAAACTGACACATTGAGTTTTAAATAAAAAAATTCACTATAAAATTTATAGAGTAGTTTCGATATTGGCTGAGCTACTTGTTGTTGAATATCGTTTAGCTTATGATATTTGTTGCCCATGATCAGGCTTGGTCGGGAAGCGGGAGCGATCGCTCTCGATTGCTGACCACGTAAATAATATTTAGTTGCGAAAAGCTGGCCAGATTTTTTAGTCGCTTTGAGAACATTTTAAAAAGCAAAAAAAAAAAAAAAAGCGTTGAAGATTAATTGGACCGATGAGAGACAATTACAAAAAAAAAAAAAAAAATAGGTAAATAAAATGTCTTTAAACGCGAAAAAGCTAAATAAATTACGTTTAAAACAAAAATTTTAAAATATCGCTCTTTTATAAAATTAAGCGATGTTCTTTATATAAAGTAACAAATTACGATTGTTTAAAGAGGAAACAAATATTCTTTATTTAACAAAGTATGCAAGCTCTAGTTTAATTTTAGCTAAACAATTTTATAAATAATAAAGTTAATTTTTTCAATACCTATTTTATGTTTCGCGTAGTTTGAAAAGTTTAACATATTTGAAGCATTTCTTCTTAGTAAGATAAACAAATGAAATAATTAATTCACAATATCTCTGGTGATGTTTAGTGAGTGGGCTTTTTAATTTTAATTAGTATTTAAAGCAGAAAAAAGTATAACGAGTTTTTAGAATGGCAACTTAAGCGAAAATAATTAGAGTTAGTAAACCAATATCTAGTAACTTTTCTTTATATCTAAATATTTGCTATATATATTTGTGTTCTGTCGTGACCTCAGGCGCGGTGCTTGTTCATCTGCGAGTTACTTTGTACGCGTTGTTTGTGTTTAGTAACTAGAAACTTCTTATATGTTTGTTACGTAATTATAGTTTTATTAACTATAACGATTATAACTTCATTGAAAACGCAATTATTTTTGTAAGTCTTTGTTTAAATCGTAAAAATTGCTTTAAAAGATACATTACGATAAAAAACAGATAAACAAAATTAAATTTACATAAAGAATACATACTTTTTAAATAAAAAATAAGAATATACTAATAAAATCTATAATTTATAATAAACTTTTAACATTTTGACAATTTAATATATATTTAAAACTTTTATTTTTGTAAACAAATAATATATTTATTCTTAAGACAAGTGATGCTAGAAATCTCAAAAACGTAACAAATCGTTTCTAAAAACATTTCAACAGATTACTCTTCTTAATTTCGCTAAGTCTGCGTATTTTTTGAACCAATAGAATTAGTTTCTTCGTTAATTTGGCGGGTTTTTACTGTTCGCGAATATTCTTTTTGTTCTTTCGCACAAAGATGTTTTGAGAACATTTAAGTTTATTATGTTTCCATGTATGTCCGTAAAACAAAAGTTTTTTGTTTCGTACATAAACTTAAATGTTCTCAAACGACTAAAAATCCTGGCCAGTTTTTCGCAACTAAATATAATTTCCGTGGTCAGTATTCGAGAGCGATCGCTCCCGCTTCCCGACCAAGCCTGCATGATTATTTTTTTTTCTTCCTCTATCTCACATGTCTGCATAAGCCATGCTTATTTGACTTCACAGTTTCTGCAAAAAAAAATATTTGTTTGTTTAATTATGCACCAAAGAAACATAGCAAATTGAAAGTAATTCTGCAATGCAAAATTGAAACTGAAAAAATAAACTTTTCTAAACCACTTACCAATAGCAGCATATGCAATCAACATTTTTTCTATTCCAATTTTTTGTCCTCTCCCTGCATAGTTTAATTTTACAACTAGGCCATTTTAAAAAACTATTCTTAGCAAATAAAATATACAATCTCCTTTGTCTTTAACTCTGATTTGTGCCAAATAATTGACCTGCAAAAATACACAACCTGGCAATAATTAAAGTAACTTTTGTTTAGACTTAAATTAATATAAAATGTAATTTACAAAAAATCTTCAA